CTTCTTCTCTCCTCCTTCATGTCCCTGCTTCCCTCACCCCTGAACATTCCCCCCGGCTCTTCGTGGGGCATTTTAGCACTCAGACACTGTCAGACCACATCCCTGCTCTCTACTCCCTCCCCAGGTCTGAACAGTTGTCTCCATCAGCTCTTCTCCCTTACTGTGGGGATGAAGGCAGCTTATGGAGGAGCAATGCAAGGCAACAGGGTACTGAGCACCTCACACGCTTTCCAAGGCTCCTCAGAGCCCTGTGCTGTAGGATAAGGGAACAGCCACACTGTGACTGCAGGACTACAGCATGGAACAGAGTAGCATGCAGCTCTGGAAGTGGACAAGTGAAAGGATAGACGGGCTGGGTCTAGGCTGTATCTTCTCCTTCCAGCAGCTGGAGAAGCTGGTAGGATGCATTGCCTGCTCAGAGATGCATGTCCAGCAGATCTAGGGCTGCTATGGCTCAGCCCAGCAGATGTGGAGATGTGGCAGTGAGGTGGGAATGGCAGCAGACACAGATGAGGATGAGAAGGAAGCAGCACTCAACTCTGTATCAGGTCAGGTTCCTGGAAGGAGCTAAAAACACCCTGGGAAGCACAATGTGCTCATGCTCCAGGAAAGGTTGTTGGATCAGGCTGGAGTGAGACCTCAGACCAAATCTGTAGCTGGACAAAGGAGGAGCTCCTCCTATCCACACAAAGTGGTGCCTGGCCATGCCACAGTTGGAATTCTGCTGTGAATCCCAACAGACCTCGATTCCAAACTCCCCATTCCTGTGTGACTGACAGTAGACAGGTTCTGCTCCAGGCTTTTGTGTTGGAGGAGTTTTGAGTACCACAAAAGCTGTTGGGGGGACTGGGGGGAGGCGCAGCAACACCAGTCCTTGCACCCTGCCTTGTAAACAGGGCTGCTCAGTAATGATGTCAAGCAAGAGCTCTGCATGCTGGGACGGGAGGGAGAAGCTCAGAGACAAAAGCTCGGTGCCACAGCCATGAGGCACACAGCCAGCATCCGCGGTGTCTTAACCTACTTTGGGCTTGCTACTGCGTGGCTGCAGATGAGGGCCAAAGGAGGGGCTGCACCCGTGTTGGGCACCATCTGGCAGCTCCTGCTTAGGGCACTCTGGCTACTGAGGGAGAGGAAAAGCCAGGATGATTCCTGTCCCCATCACCATCCCAAAAAACACAGCAGGATGAATGCAGGGAGCAGGGGCCATGGAGCAGTCACCACCCCATCACCAATTTGCAGTGGCAATGGCACTGCAGCCTCACACACACACACCTGGCATGGGGGAACATTGGTGGGAACAGAACTGGGAGAGGGACCGTATCACAGCAGCCTAGGATTCTCCAGGATCAATCTCCCCATGGGAAGCAGTTTTAAACCTTTGGGGTAGGTGGCACAGGGCTACAGCTGCCCTCCACCCTCCGGTTTGAGCTGCAGGGAGCTGGAGGCTGCAGGGATCGATGGCTGAGCTGTCAGGGTGTGGCACCACCCGAGGACAGCTGCATCAATGTAGGCAGTGAAAGGCAGTGTCAATGATCTGGCCTTGATGTGGGAACATGATGGACAGCCATCAGCATCCTGCACAGCCCCTGACTGATGACCAGGAGTGTGATGGACAACCATCAATGAGCCTGTGTGAATGTCCAGGGGCAGGGATGGACAACTGTCAGTGGACATGAAGGACAGCCATCAGCAGGTGGCCCTGAGAGGTGCTGTCTGCAGCCAGCACCAGGAGGTTTCCTGTTTGGTTGCCAGTGAAGAGCAGGATCGTGTCTGCAACTGGGACCAGCTCCATGGGTAAGATCGTGAGCCCCTGCATGGACCCCACACATATGGGGGGTATGGGCTATGCAGGGAGCCAGGCATGGTCTGCCTTGCCCACAGGTTCGCTCTTGCACCGTTTATTCCAGGTGATGGGCGATGCTGTGCCATTCTCTGCCTGCAGTCTGACACGGCAGCCCTTCAGGCAGCCAGTTTTTATCCAATTTCATGCTGACTTTGGTATCATCCTTCCCTCCTGAAACAGCTGCCATGAGGGGAGTCGATGCCTCTCCGAGCCCTCCCTGCAGCGCATCAACACTATTATCTCCATCAGCCAAACTTGCAATCTCCTGAAAAAAGATATCTCGCTATTTTGACAAGTTCTCCTCTCCATCACCCCCCGCTGACTGGCAGCAGCGCCGGCTGGCGCAGGCGCGCCGAGGCCGCCGTTCCTGCCAAAACTTCGGGACCCTCTCCCTCCTTCCCTCCGTCCCCAGGGCAGGCAGACCCCCGGGCCGTGTCCCCCCGGGGGTGGCGGCGGCTGCGGGCCCGGGGGCAGCGGGCGGGCGGCGCTGCCGGCAGCAGCAGCCGCAGATGGCGAGCGAGCCCACACGCCGCAGCAGCCAGTGACCTACACGCGGGCGTCATGCGAGATTTCGGAGCGGGGAGAGGAGCTGACGAAAATGCACATTCCCGCTGCAGCTCAGCTCTCACCTCCGCCCCTGCAGCCCTCCTCCAGCAGACCGGCGCTGCCGGCTCCTGTCAGGAGCTTCCCCAGCCTGTTGCCGGTGGTGCCGCTCCAGTGAGCAGCCAACCACGCCGTGGCTTTTCGGAGAGGACAGGGGACTGTGTCCTCCTCCTCCCCAGAGGGTGCGAGACGATCCTTAATCTGGCACAGGATGTCCTTGCAGAAGCGGATCTGGCTGTAGCTCTCATTCTGGGGGACAGCGCACCTGCCTGCAGAGGATCCCCAAGGTCTTTGGCAGCTGGAGCAGGAGCGGGGCTGGAGCTCCTCCTTGCCTCTGATTTTCCAGGAAGCACTGCACTCGGCCCCGGGACTGCCCTCCCCACAGAGGCACTAAAAGCTTTTAGAGCCTGCCCGCACGCTCCTCTCCAGTCCTCTGGGGCCAAGGTTCGTCTGTGAATTCGTTTCCCGCTGGCCTCCCTTACAGTGGATGCCTTCCTTGGCATACACTTTCTCCACCCCACGGCCATCCCAACACCTTTCCACCATGCTCCCCAGACCAAATAATGCAAAATGTGATTCACCCTAAAGGAAAGCATTCCTGAGGAGGGATGAAGCACAGAGAGGCACTTTGGCCAGGGCAGGGCACCCAGAGGCTGCATTAAGGCTCCTGCAGCTTATGGAGTGAAACAAGACAGGACCTGACAGCCACAAGCAGAAAACAGATAAATCCTGTCTCCAGCCTAGCTCTGTGCATCCCCAGCCATGGGAGAGAGCCATGGACTGGCTCAGATCGCAGCACAGCACCCAGATGCTGCTTTTCCCAGCCTCTGGATCTGTTTGCAGGTGACATGAGCTGCAGATGGTCTCAGCTTACTCTCACGTGAGACATAGAAAGGGTCTACAATGAAGATATGGGTATTGTGGGGTCATTGTCAGTGCCCTTAAGACTACAGAGGGCTGGCACAGGGTGTGGAATAGCAGCCAAGGGTCAAGAACCATTCTGGCACCAGCATGTGCAACCTGGTCCCCTCAGGGCTGCCCTGTCCCAGTGATCTGCTCCTGGGCACGCAGGGCACTCCAGGGTTGTTGGATAATGCATCCACCACAGGTTGTTTTGTTTTGGGGTTTTTTTTGGGGACGTAGAAGACCTCAGGGATGGTGCTTCCCATCTTCCAGAAGCTAGGAAGCTTCAGTCATCAAATGGTTGTTAATCCCAGATCTTCCACTCCATGCTCCCCATGCTCTCTGTACGGGAAAGGTGACATCTCTCCCTCTCTACTGCTGCTCACTGCTGTCCACACATCCACTGTTCTGTGGGGCTGGCAGACCTGGAGCCTGCTAGAACCTGCCCAGTGGAGGGCACAGGGGCTGGCAGGGCTAGGATGTCGGGCTGGGATGAGGGGCTCCCCCCAGGCAGTATCCTGGGAACAGGAACAGTGCAGTGGGGCTGAGCAGAGCTTCCTCATGTCCTAGTCAACAGCACGTGCTGTGTCCAGCCTGGCCAAGGAGCAGGGCAGCTCTGCAGCATCCCCACTGCCCAGGCCCCTCTGCTCTCACCTTCAGCACGTATCCCAGGCCTGGATGGAAGCTGCTCCTCGGAGGGCTCAGAGTCTGTTTCACCCTAAATCATCCCCATGTAGACCTGTCTATTCCTGAAGGGGAAAGTGCAGCCTCTTACCAGTGGCACTCCCTCCAGTAAGGTGTGAGGGGGCTGAGTGACCATCTCCACCAAGCTGATGGGGGACAGCTGGGGATGCATGTGGGCCAAATACTCTGCCTTCAGACGTGCTGCATTAGAGCTGTGCCTTTTTCTCCCCACCAGCCTCCTCTCTCCTACCCCATCACCTCCTCCCAACCCCCTGTGAGCCCCCAGCCCTGCTGCAGCCCTGTGGTGTCCCCCCAGGGGGTATAACAAGTCCTGGGTATTAGAAGAACAAAAACCCCAGGTTTTGCATTGAAATGGGCACACAGGGCTGCACGTAGCCAGCAGCCACCATGCCCCTGCTGCACCATAGTGTGGGAAGGACAGCCTGCCTGCAACACTGACCAGCAGACATTGGGTTAAAGCAGGTGCAGGTAGCCTGTGACTGAGGCACCGGTCTGGGGAAGATCCCGCAGCGGGGGCAGATGAGACCTTTGCTCATCCTTGGATGCAGTCCCACCTCTGTAATCCTTGAGGTTTTTTCTGAGAAAGGCGGTTCAACCCAGGGGGCCAAAGGAGATGCAGGGAAAGCTTTTATTGGTATCTTCCAGCACACGTCAGCCCGGTTAAAAAAAATCTTCGTTTCTCGGAGAGCTTTTTAACACGGCTCGGGCAGCAATTGGTACAGGGACAGCAAACCAGGCTGCATCTGCTCAGCCCCAGTCACAAGCTCCCTGCTTCCTCTGAGAGTGCGTGTGTGTGTGTGTGTGTGTGTGTGTGTGTGTGTGTGTGCGCGCTAGACACAGGCATCCGCTCCCAGCATCTCGCTGCCTCCTGCATCCTCCGGCAGCAAGTGCAGGGCTCTGGCTTCCCGGGTACCACCCTCGCCTCTCCATCCCCTGGCAGGGATTTGCACGCGGGGCACGGCATGCAGTGAGCACCCGCGGGAGGAGAGGGGCTCGTGGCCAGAAGCAGCGGCGATGGGCATCGTGTGGACTGCTGTCTAGGGCTCGTGTTCCCAGAGCGACCCTGATCCTGGTAAGTGGGTTTTTTTGCATTACAGGCGCTTTGCTGGGTGCGTAGCATGGGCTGTCCACACATTGTGTCGCCCTTCAGTGGGCTCCCCCGGGATCCTGGTGCCAGGGACTAGAGCTCCTGGGATGGGATGCCTGGGAGTGGGGATGAGAGTGGGGTGAGAGGGTCCTGCCCAGGCATCGGGGTCCTTATGTGGGTACTGGGGAGAGGGGCTGGGGAGGGAGAACAGAAGGAGAAGTGCAGAGCTGAGCAGGAGCTGTGTCTGCTGCAGAGGAAGGGACTCTGCTGTCACGGCATTTTCATCCCCCTCTGGGAGATGAAAGAGTGCGACACACCTATGAAATCTGTCATAGCACAGCAGGATGGGCAACCTGATCCGGCAGGGAGAACAGCCACTGGCTTGGTGTCCCCAGGACTGGGACACAGCACCCGCCCCCACCCGACATCCCCACTGGACTCCCACAGCCCTGCAGAGGGTGGGAGGGACCATCAGCCACGGACCTCTCTGCCCCATGGCAAATAGATCATCTCACAGCAGCAGTCCCAGCAGTGCCACAGTTCTGGCATGTGCTGTCTGCCTGGGAGAGGGGACAAGAGGATGCTGCCAGACCCTCGTGGCCATCTGCAGCCAGCTCAAGGAGGTGGAATGCAATGTCCCCTAAGCAGAGCCTGCTGCCTTCACAGCCTGGCCCCCTCACTCCAGGCAGGCAGCAACTGGCAGAGATGTGCAAGAGCCATGGCAGAGCCATGGCAGCTCCTCCCAGCCCTGCTTCATGCCCTTCAGACCGAGACCTGGGACCGGGCTGCCATGGGCTCCTCCCTGTTGGTACCCCACCCCTCTGCCCCCAGGTTCCCTAATGCTGCTCTAAGTAAGGCACAGCACTGCAGGGCAAAAGACCCAGCAGCCTGGTGAGGGCAGGGAGGAGGCTGGGCCCCCTGGCAGCCTGTGGGGACCAGGCACATCCTTCCCCCTCGATCGGGGAGCCAGCTCCTGGCACACGAGGGGGTTCTGGTCCCTGCACACCCCTGATGCATCCCCCTGAGAGTGGGTGCCTGCTCAAGGGTGCACCAGCCCAAGCACCCACTGACCCTTCATTTGCTGGGAGGGCCTTTCACCGAGGACCACTGTGGGGCAGGTAACAGTCAGTCCTACAGACCCTACAGATGGGGCTCCACACCCCCATCTCCCCAGGCCACCACTGCACACCACAACAGCTCACCCTGCACCCACAGCCCCCGAGAAGCACCCATCCCACAGCCCCAGCTGCCACAGACACCACCCCACTCCCACAGCTGCTGCAACATCCCTGCACCCAAAGCCACCACCCACCCCATGCCCACAGCCTCTGCAACACCCTCCCTGGGCCGTGACAGCCGCCCCGCACTGCCAGCCACGCCGTGGCACATTCACCCCGAAACACATCCATCCACCCCTCGCGCCTCATCCACCCTGTAACACATCCAGCCCTAACAAACGCACCCTCCCTGTGCCGCTCCCGACGCATCCGTCCTGCGCTCCCAGCCACCACACCGCCCCGGCTGCGCCCACCTGTGTGTCACCCGCTGCCACCCACACTAACCTGGCACCCCGGAACCCCAGCACAAGCCACGTGTGCTCTGCCATGGGAGAGAGGCTTTGCAGCCATGCAGGGACCGCTGGCTCTGTTTGCATCTGGATGCTCTGCCCTGTTTCCTTCTCCCGGGGTGCCTCCGTGCTAGCCACCAGCTCTCTCCCCATTCACATCTAACACAGGCTTAATTCTCACTCCAGCTGCACCAGCCTTGCTTCCATGCCTCAGTTTCCCCAAGTAGAGAGGAGCATGAAGCTGGGAAAGATGTGTCCATGCGTACTAAGAGGATGAAGTGCTTTCTGGCTCAGTGTTTTGCTGCAGGAATGGAGCCGTAAGGAGCAAATCCAAAAGAGAAGAGTGAGGGGAATGGGTGTTGCCCAAGGATCAGAGCAGGGGTGCAGGGGGCTGGGGGCAAGGGAAGGAAAGGGGTTGGGAAGTTTCCCACCACCCACTGTGACAGCCCCCGGTGCTGGCAGGGCTCGTGGAGCCGGGTGTTTGCAGGCAGCTCCTGCCTGTGCCCAGATTTAGCTCCTCTGTGGGGGCGACCTAAAAATAGCCCCACGGTGCAGCCTGGCAGCAAGGTCGAGGCCCCCGCACCTCTCAGGTCACGATGAGACAGGTGGTGGTTCTGTTTGCCTCAGGGGGTGGACACAAATAGCACTGGAGACACCTTCCCCCAAGGACATGTGGGGAAGCAGGGGCTGCTCAGGTTTCTGGGCTGCTATGGGGCAATACTGCCCCTGGTCCTCCCTTCCCCAGGAGAAGGGGGACTCCTGAAGTCTAGCAGGCCCCCAGATCATCCCAGGTTCTATGTGAGGGTGAAGTCCCACCCTGCAAAGCCAGGTCAGGCAGGGCATGGGGCACAGGCAAAAAGGGGTCAGGACAGTGCAGAGCAAGTTTGGGGTATCTGGAGAGCAATTGGGCCTGTGGAAAGGCAATGGAGTCTGGAGACTGAGTTCAGGGTGAAGCCATTCAGCCCTGGATGTGCAGGCAGGGTCCAGCTGTGCAGTACTAGCAAGGGCAGGGGGACCAGCAGAGCTGAGAATAGACACAAGTCATGACAGAAGTGAAATTGTCCAGGCTCCAGGCACACAGTAGACAGTGGCAGAAGGCACTTGGGGTAGGCTTGGAAGAGGACAGGAAGCAGGGAGGTCGGCTGGGATCTTGCAGCAGCAGTGCAGTGCAGGTGGGTGACTATGAACACAGAGGAGAACCAGATTTGGGGGGGAATACAGCAAGTCCACACACCAGCCACCCTTCTGTTGCCCAGGCTGCCCCACTGCACTGCAGGGTGGCTGGGGCTGGGGCACCCAGAGCTCAGCAGCATCATGGGGAGAAGCTGCCAGCATGCTGGGATGAGGAACACCAGTGTGGGTACCAGGGAGACTGGCATGCTGTGGGCCACACACCTCTTTTCACTCTTCTCTGTGAGCCTAGCCCCTCTGGACCCTCTCCTCCCCACTTCTACCCAAACCTTGGCCAGGAGTAGGCCTGGATCTGGTCAACACTCGGTAGTGCAGGGACCTACAAAGGCAGATCTTGGGGGGATTTCCCTGTGACTTCTCCGACTCTCTCGCTCGCAGGCAGAGCTGCAATGCTGCCCAGCAGCAGAGCTGATCCTGACCACGGCAGACGTGATCCTGAGCCAGCCAGGCAGAGGGTGGTGGCACGGCGAGGAGGTAGAAACACCCAGGTGTTTTCCTTCCCACTGGCAGACACAGCCGCAGAGATGCTGCTGCTGTGGCTTGGACACGTGCCTCCAGCTCTGCCCCGCTCCCACCTTTGCAAAGCCCCGGGAGCTGAAGAAGGCCGGGCACCAGCTCTGAGCCAGGCACTGCGGCCAACAGGTGCAGATACCCCAGCCCACACAGGCGCCCGCTGCTGGGACCCCCACGCGCAGGACGGGGCCCACACGTGTTGCATCCCCGGCTCAGCGCGTGGGAATCTGCAGGCAGATGGTCCCGCGGTGGTGGGGAGAGGCTGGGAAATCACATGCGTGTGCACACAGTGGTGTTTGCCGCCTGCCAGCATGCTCTGCTCCGCTCCGCTCGGCCCTGCTGCTGCGGGGTACCTGTAATTACCCTGACCAGGCTCCCTGCCACAGCAGTGCCCGCGGTGTCGAGTCCTCCCGCAGGCAGTGAGATCCCGGCGGTGTGCACGCGTGCTGCTAATTATCCCGCTACCTGGGGACTTCCCTGCCGAGGCTGGCGGGGCGGGAGATTGCTGCTCCAATCTCCCTGCTTTGCCTCCCGGTCCCTGGGCACCAGCTGGAAGTGCCTCTTTGCTGCAGCATAGAATTAGAGAATAATTAAGGCTGGAAAAGACCTCTAAGATCATCGACTCCAACCATTAACCCAGCACTGCCAAAGCCACCTCTAAACCACATCCCAAGTGCCATGTCTACACGGTTTTTAAACACTTCCAGAGATGGTGATTCCACCACTGCCAAGGGCAGTATCTTCCATAGTGTAACCCCAGCATGGCATGAGGGAAGCCCTTGGACCTATGTGAAGTGATGCTGTGCCCCACAATGCTGGAGCCCAAATTCTGCTTCTCCCCAGCTTCAGCTCACAACCAGTGAGACAGTGTCCAACTTGTTATTGCTGCTGCTGTTGGCCGCCCCACTGTATCCTAAGGTGATCTCTTGGCACTGAAGCCAAACCTTCTTGGGACCCGTGTGCCCCTGTCCCATACATTGCTTCCCTTCCCTCTTGCACCCTCACAGTCCTCCTACAGTTGGCCCAGCCTCCCCACAGGGCTCCTGGCAGGATGCAGGATGCCCAGTGATCACAGCAGCAGCACACTCACAAACATGCAAGTGAGTGCAAGAAGAGGCAGCTGAGTGAAGAGGAATTTAAGGAAGGTGAGGGGTCAGCATCAGACCTGCCACGACCTAGTCCTGGGCAGAGCTGCAGGGAGGATATCTTTCATCCTTGACTGACCACAGAGATTGTCTTCAAGGCAGAAAGGAGATGCACGCAAGGAAAAGGGTTACAGCTGGTCCTACTCCCTCTGGGTTTTACTGATCTGGCATGGAAGAGGCCTGGATGTGTTTCTTGTTAAGCTGGAGTCTATAGAGCAAGGGTGGGGAGGCACCCCCAAACCATCTCCCTGCCTTCTGTCCCACTCCCCACCCACTCAGACCCTCCATGGCCAGGAATCCATCTCCCCACAGCCACCACCATGATCCCAGTATCAGTTTGTCACAAAGCCCTCATTTCTCCCTGCCCTGAGCTGCTCCTCATGCAGCTGGGGGAAAACCACAGGGACACCCTCTCGGGGGTCAGGGACATAGCACCTTCCTTCCCACCGCAGAGCCATGGGGGTGCTGATGTCCAGGAGGCAGACGGTGGAGAGGGTGCAGAAGGTCAGCTTGGCCGTGTCAGCCTTCAAGGATGGGCTGCGGGAGCAGCCATCGACACGGCGTCGGGCGGAGGCGGGGACTGCACGCCAGGGGACGCTGGAGCAGGAGGTGCAAGAGGGAGAGGAGGAAGCGCTGGCAGGACCTTCCCAGCCGGAGGAGAGCAGTGCCAGCAAGGCAGCCTGGGAGCGGCTGCGGGATGGCCGGGGCGTGGAGCCAGAGGAGTTCGACCGGGCCAACAGGTTCACGCCACCAGCCTTCATCCGGCCCAAGAGGGAGCTCCACGATGATGAGCCCCCGGACATCAGCCTGGAGCAGAGGGAGCAGGTGAGCTGATGGAACCACAGAGACAGCGTGGGAGGGATGGGGACAGGGCTGGAGGTGCACAAGCACCTGAGGGTCTGCCAGGGAGTGACAGTCTCCCTAAGCCTTTCGGAGGTGGCTCAGTGGGGTAGAGTGCCAGTAGCCAGGCTGGGCAGGTGGAGGTGCCACACTGGGAGGGGGGTGCAACTGTTCAGATGTGCCCCAGAGGCACCCTGGAGTGTCTTGAAAAGGAGAAGTCACTGCTGGGCACAGGCAGTTCTAGGTCTGGGGAAGAGAGGACAATTTGATCTACATGTTCGTCCACCTACAGTCATTCAGCTTGCAACTCAAGCTATCCCTCCATACCTGCAGCCCCTACATCCCTGCCCGCTACAACCCAACAGCTTATCCACCCATGCCTTCAATCTCACAACCCACCCATCCACACCCAAAACCTTACCCACCCAAGTCTACACACCAGCCCACCTACACCCTTATATAGCACCATAAAGGCATGGAATATCCTGAGTCAGAAGGAACCCACAAGGATTTTTGAAGTCCAACTCCTGGCCATACACAGGATACCCCAAGAATCACATCATGTGCCTGAGAGTATTGTCCAGGCTTGGTGCTGTGACCACTGCCCTGGGGAGCCTATTCCAGTGTCCAACCACACCCTGAGCCTAAATTGCCCAGGGCACCAAGATAATATACCCAGGTTAGTATCTCTTTGGAAGTGGAAATGGAAATGTGTGGAAAACCTTACAGCTTATCCATCGACACTTACAACCCTAAAGAGCAGCCAATGTACAACCCTACAGCCCAGCCACCCACATGTAACACGCTGCAGAGAATCTACGACTCCACAGCCCCACCACCCCTACAGCCAGACCATCCACCCACCATTCATCCCCATCATGCTCCTCTAACTTGACCAGCCACGTCCATTACAACAACCTCTTCCCCATGCCAGCCCCACACATTCCCAGCTTCCCCCCTCACCATCCACCCCCACCTGCAAAGCCCCACCCAGCTCGAGAAGCCAAGCCCCTGCCTACACTGCTCTGCTGAAAATATGCCCATCCCTGCCCAGATCCAGAATGATGAGATGTGTGAGATCTGCGAGGTGTGGACAGCCGAGAGCCTCTTCCCCTGCCGCATCTGCCACCGGGTGTACCACGACGGCTGCCTGCGCCGCATGGGATACCTGCAGAAGGACAGTGCCGTGGAGGTGACAGAGACGGCGCACACCGAGACGGGCTGGAGCTGCTACTACTGCGTGAGTGCCTGCACTGGGGGACACCAGGCTGCTGCAGGGTGGTGGGTGCTCCCCAGGGAACTGTGCCCCACATGGACATGAGCAGGGTCCTGTCTCACAGCCACTGGGGCAGTGGGGGACTTGCTGCTCTCTGGTTCCCACCACCCACCTTGGCTTGACGGGGTCACCAGACACAGGGTGCAGTGGCCCTTTTCCACCTCCCCACCTCTGCAGCCAGCTCCCCAAGACCTTGGTGCAGAATGTGACACTGTGGGCACAAGAGGTGCTGTAGCAGAGCTGGGATGGCCAAAGCTCGGGGGCGTGGAGCCATCCCACTGCAGCATCCTTGGGTGACACAGCACATCTCTCTGGGTGTCCTCACCCACTCCCTTCAAGGGAGGCCCTGCCATACAGAGGTGTGCTCCCTCACCCCATGTCTTTTCCTCATGGCTCCTCTCTGCCCCCTACCCTAGGACAACCTCAATCTGTTGCTGACAGAGGAAGAGATGTACAGCCTGATGGAGACCCTGAAGAACTGCAAGATCATTCCAGGTGTGTACCCTCCATGCGGCGGGTCCCAGATGGCTGCGGGAAGCAGCTGGGGAGGGCGGCCCCCCCTCCTTCCTGGGCACAGCACAGCCAATCTGTCCCCTGCAGAGAGCTGCCTGACCCTGGATGACTTTCTGCACTACAAACACCAAGTGCACAAGCAGCAGTTTGAGCGGACCATGCCTGAGGCACAGGAGGAGCAGGCAGCCCTGCAGTTCAATGCCCTGGACCCTGACAAGAAGGGGCACATTGAGTGGCAGGACTTCCTCTCCCACGAGTCAATCCAGCTGCTGCAGAAAATACGGCCACAGGTACGGTTGTGGCATCCAGGGCTTGCTCCCATGGCTGTCACACATGGTCACAGCACCCAGGGCTGGCTACCATAGCCAGCAGCTGTGGCAGTGGCACCTAGGCCCAACACCCACAGCCACAGCACCCATGGTCATGGCACCCAAAGATGGCTCCTACAGCTGATGCCTCCGGCTGTGGCACCTGGGGCTGACTCCCATGGCCGGCACTCCTGGCCATGGCACTCAGGGTAGAGACCCCTAAGCTTTGGGAATATAAGGAGGAAGGTTCCCACAGGATGCATGCTACACCTTCACTTCTCTGACTCCCTAGAATGCCCTTCTGCGGCTGCTGACACCCAAGGAGCGGGAGCGGGCACGGACAGCCTTCCTGGCCCTGGACCAGGACAATGATGGCTTCATTGGGGAGGCTGAGTGCCGCCAGGCCCGGCACACCTGGTTCCGCAAGCACCAAAAGGAGATGCTGTCCTGCAATGTCAGGTGAGGGGATGCCCACCCTGGTGTAGGGGTGATATCTCAGCTGGGACTCCCAACACAGTCCCAACACCTACCAAAGGGGCCCAGCACACAAATGGTTACCCCCGCTTCCCGCCACCTCCCCCACCATGGCCCCTCAGCCCTGTGCACCCTTTTCCCCCATCACCACCATTTGGGGTGCAAGGAGTGGGGATGAAGAGCATCCTCCTCCCTGCCACAGCATCAGCCATGTAGGGCCCATATCAGAGGGCAGCCCCGCCAGCAGCAGGAACGGGAAGAGCCCGGAGAAGATCCTGCCAGCCACAAAGCAGGAGGAGACCAGGTGAGGCAGGGATGGTTAGGGGGATGGTGGAGACCCCCATTTTGGGGAGAGACCCTGGGGGAGCAGTGTTGCCAGGGTGTCCAATGAGCCCACATCTGCCCGCAGGAGCATCGACTGGCCCGGATTCCTGCGGGAGAACGTTGCCTACATCCTGGCCGCGCGCCCCAACAGCGCAGCCCTGCACCTGCAGCCCCTCGCCTAGACCCGGCCGCGCCTCGAGGGCGCGGTGCCACGCCCGCCATGGTGATCTGCCCTGCCCTCCCCCGCGGGCACAGCCAGGCGCCGATTGGCTGGCAGGGAAGCGGCCGTGCTGCCCTATGCCCCACCTCCCCCTTGGATTGGCTGTGAAGAGGATGGGTGCCAGGCTCTGATTGGCTGAGGGAGCAGGAGCAGCTCTCAAGTCTCTGATTGGTGGGGGGAAGTAGGGCGGGGCAGGGCGTGTCCCCACTGTTCTCTGCACCCTGCAGGGACCACGGTAGGCAGGGATCCTGTGCCCAGGGTCACCGTGGGGCACAAGGGGCAGGAACTGCCCCCATGATCCCTGTCCCCACAGCACCCAGGGACCTGCAGACAGAGCAGGGGCTGCCCTGGGTACTTGTGGGGTGACAGCAGAACCCAGAGCACCCATGTGTCCCCAGCCTCCCACAGCATCATGGGGCAGCACAGCTGAGCCTCTGCGTGCCACAGGCAGCGCCCACGGGTCTGCGGCAAGCAGTGTCTCAGCTCATCGATGTGGTGGATCCTCAGGGGATGTGGCTGACTCACTTTGGGGTCTTTCACATCCCTGCCCTACTGAAGCAGGGGTTGGAGCCCAGTAGGTCTATTCTTGCATGCACAGCTCATGGCTGGAAGAGACAGTTTCCTGTCATGGCTCAACCCTTCCCTGCTGGCAACCAACTATTTAATGCCAACAGCAATGGTGTAGGAAGGAGCACTGGTAACAGAAAGCATCAGAGGGATAAGAAGTCAAGGTCAGATGTAGGGGGACTCCCTTATGCCTCTGATCTTGCCAGCAGCACTCCCCTGTGTCCCTCATCCCCTCCTGTACCCCTGGTTCCAAGGGATGCTCTTCATTTGCTTTGCCATTCCAGTCCCACACCAACCCTGTTCAGTCTCGCTCTCTACCCACCGCATCAAGTGGGCAGCCTTGCCTCGCTGGGAGCATTAGTGCTAGTGGTGGGAGGAGGAGGCAGAGCCACCCCAGGTGTCAGCTGCAGGGATGAGGCATTCACTGGGCCCGTTGGCAGCCCACAGTGATAGATGCACTCATCCCACAGATGAAGGAGCAGGAAGCCCGGAAACCTTGTCCTGGACATGCCAGGGGTTGGGATGCCCAGGTCCCATGGCAGTACCAGCAGCTGCTCCTGCCCCTCTAATCCCTTTCCCACAGTACCCTCAGCCTCTTCCTGCCTGATGTGCTCTGGCTCAGCCAGGAGGCCCCGGGGTGTACAGAGGCCAGGGGTGCATTTGCAGCAAGCTGGTCATTCCCTCACCTCCATCCCTGATGCCCTGTGGGCATCATCCCAGTCAGCCCCCTTCCCCCAGCCAGGGCACAGTTCCCCTCTCCAGGGTCTCCCCCACCGCAAGACCAGGAGGCGCACCAGTGCCACGACATCTTCCTCTACCACCCTGGCATGCCAGGCCAATGGGGATATTTTGGATGCCAGGTCCGAGATGTGGCCAGAGCGCCAATGGGGATATTTCGGATGCCAGGTCCGAGATGTGGCCAGAGCCATGGCGAGGAGGCGGCCGTGGGTGCGTGGGTTGCAACTCCCTATCTGTACTGAGATACATTCATTAAACAGCTGTGTCCAGCTAGCCTCTGTCTGGTGTGCTTACAGGTCTTCTGTCTTCTGTCTTCTCTGCGGGCATTTATGGGCACCCACAGCTTCCTATTGTTTAAAATCCCACCCCAGACTCAGGCCACTGTCCCATCAGGCAAGCTTGGCCCCCTGTCCCCAAAGTGTCCCACAGTAGTGACAGAGGGCAGCCAGCTTGTGCACCCAGCAAACTCAGGGTGCTGCATGTCTCCCCAGGAAAGCAGACAGTAAGGAGAGTGCGTGGCTGATTGTGGAACCACCCCAAACACTGCAGTGAAAGGGACAGCCCTCCACAGGGATGAGTGTGCTCTCCACCCCTAGAGGAACTGGATGATGAGAACTGAGCACTGGAGACAGCTGGATGCTGGGAACAGGCTGTCTGCAGCAAAATAACCCCACAGAGACACCAAGGTTCCCCGGGAGAGTGGTCCCCTTGGCTGGAATGCTCCAGCTAATCACATCCACAGAGCTCCCAGGAAAAGCTGCAGCTATTGCTGGCAGCACATGGCCTTTGGGAACCAGGCTGCCAGTAAAGGGGACTCACTGGCCTGTGGGGGACTTTCCTTGCAGAGCCCATGCTGCAGCTGGGAGGGGAATGGGATTTGAGAAGAGGATATGGGAGGGGGGATGCTGCCCTGACAGCATCAGTTCAGTCTGTGGGGCCACAGAGCTTGCTGCTAAAAGCTTGACTTGGATATTTGAGCTCACTCCCACGGTCACAGTGGGATACCATTGCGTACAAACCACAGCAGGGGTGTCCAGCTCACACACAGAGAAAATCCACCAAGCATTTCAAGCTCTGAAACCCAGATAAGCCTTAGAATTATCTGTGTCACCTGGGAGACACACTCATCACCTTGGGGAAGAGGATGGACATCTGCAGGAAGGGGGAGCTGACGGAGGTTTTGTGCCTGATGGTGGGATGTCACGGATTGGTGATGATGCAGGCTCTGCCGGTGGAGGAAAGCCCAGGGAAGCCCTCACATGGCGAGAGGGTGTTAAATCACTGTGTTATTATCAGTGTTAAATCACTGTGTTATTGCTCCGTCTGCTGGAGATGAAGAACAACGAGGCACAGAGCACAGGCCTGATAACCCTGAGAATGGGGTGCTCACTGCCAGCACGCCAAAGCTCTTCACCCAGGGAACAAGGCACAACAGCTCTCCCAGCCCCAGCCTACCCTGTAGCACCCTGCAGCAGGCTGGCACCCCTGCCAAGACACACAGCTGGCTGGTGTCCCTGGGAAGCTGGATAACAAGGGCCACAGGTGACCGTGGTGGCCTGTGTCCTGCAGGGCTGTGCTGTCAACACTGCAGCAAACACCCAAAAACTGGCACAAGGCTCTCTCTGGACACTTGTGCAATCTGCTCACCTCATGCTGGTGCGAACCTCTCTCCAGATCTCTCTGTGTGCTGTTGCTTTCCCTTAACAGCAGTGCAAACATCCCCATGGTGATCCCAGGCCCTAAACCAAAGGATTGGGATGTTCATGTGGGATTTAAGGCTGGGGCAATAACCAGCTGTCCAGCCCAACCTTCCCAAGCCTACTGAAGTTACAGTGTGCAGCTCACATGCCTGTGGTCCCACATCTGTCACCCTCCACCAAGTGCCATGCAGTGGATGCTGTGCTCCCCACTGGGGGTTCCCAGCCCCAGGGCTCCAGTCCAGCATCACTCTGCTTGGAGCTGGGAACAGAGTCCCAGGGTCCTGGGGGGCAGCTCTGGCTCCTGTGTTTCACAGCAGGCGATGGTCAAAGTATTGTCCACCCTCTACCCCAGTTGTCCTGCTATCTGGGAGGGGACTGGCAGATCCTGTCTGGGTCAGGAGCAGCCCACAGGTGATGGGGGATAATAGTGCCTCACTCTGTATTGAGGTTGCCCTCTCTGCCAGGCTGCAGGGCTATTGGACAGGGCTGCCAACCCCTCAAAAAAAATCTGTTAGTGAGGAGGACTTGGTTTTGCACCTGAGGGTGCAGGATAGCACCCTCCTCTGAGCCTGGACACCTCTGCACATCCCTGGAGCTCCCCTGGACTTGGCCAGATTCCCCTAGGTCTGGTGTGTCCTGGAGGGGAAGTGACCATGATGAGCCCCACGCCAAAGCCAGACAATCTTCAGGAGAGCTGTGCTGGCATAGAGGGGAGAAGAATGACCAGAGGGACTCAGTGGACAGTGTCTCTATGAGCCCTGGCACTGACTGTCACTGGAGCAAGACATCAGAGCCACATCCCATCACTGGACCAGTCAGAGACCACTGGCAAGAAAAGAGGATTCTCTGAGCAGCATGTGACAGTGACAGCGAAGCCACAGCCCGTGGAGGCAGTGACACCGTGGTGGCCCCAAGTACCCTTCCCCTCCCAGGCCAGGGCAGGAGTGACCATGCAGAAGAGGGATAAATGATCTCCCCATTTAGCAACATCACTGCACATGCAAGCAGGAAAGTGAGGTGGGGAAGCTGAGAGGATTTGGGACAGAATAGCGATTAGGAGATTGGATTACCCAGAAGTGATTCGCCCACCCCAAATCAGGGTCCCTAGGGACACCAGGGCCCCCTGGGGACAGTTGAGGGAGGACTAGGGGTGAGTGGGCTGCGGAGGGGTACAAGGGGCCGTAAGAAGTGTGCGTGTCCCCCGCAACAGAGGGGTGACCACGGGGTGTCGCCGCTGCTCCACGCCGGGAGCCGGTGGTGCCACTTGGGAACCCGCAGAAAGCATGCAGGGAGCAGGGATGCAGGGATGGAGGGAGGGGGGACGCAGGGACTCGTTTCAATACCCCGAAATAATTATGTAGGTTGTTTTGTGACCCACTTCCCCTCCTGCGCCAAACCCAGCTCTGACTCCTACCTCTGCCTCACAGCACCTTCCTCCTCCCTGGTTATGTGCCCGTGGCTGATGAATGGAGGACCACACCTGCTGCCCGGGGAGCTGGGACTGAGCCCCAGGCTCCTGCGGGGATGGTCTCCATTCTCCACAGCCCCCTGGAAGACCCTGGGCCTTGGAGAAGAGGGATTGACTCGGGGCTCTCTCAGGTCTAACAACCTTTCCCCGTGAGTTGCATAGGCAGGTAGAGCCCCCTCCTCTCCTTGTCCCCTGGGCACCACCTCCTCTGTTCAGAGCCACTGCACCCCCCAAACAGCCGCAGGGTCTGACCACACTCGGCACTGCAACCTGGCTGGGAAGGCTGTTCAAGTGACGGAAATGAAGCATAGCACTAGGTGTGGTGGCACAAGTAAGGACAGCGATGCCCACCAGCACCTGCTGGGACCAGTCACATGCTGCTCAGGGCAGTCTGGAGGGAGCCATAGGGCACCTGAGTGGGAAAATTGCATCCCCTCCCCAGCACCTACCCAGCAGGTACCCAGCCCACAGCGGTTGGATGAGCTGCCC